TTTTCATAAATGTGAAATTTACGAAATGGCCAAAGCCACACAAAATAGACTGCTGTTTTCAGTCACATTAGTACCCCATTCCCATGCTGCAAAGACTAAATTAAATTAGCATTTTACATTTAAAGAGAAAAAGATATTTAACTACCTGCTTTTAAAAAGTAAAACCAGCAATGAAGAACAGTGTATATGCACTTCAAGAAAATCCCCACTAATCTGTGGAAAACTACATGCCATGTGGCATCTGGGAATAGCTTACAATCCACAGCATAAAGCCTTTGTCTGTGCTGAGTAACAACCCTGCCAGCACGGGGCTTCAGCAGACATCGCTGCCAGCCTCCTCCTCTGCCTTCAAGTTTTGCTCCAGTCACCCTCGACCTGTGTGTGACATTGGAGCAACACAGATGTCCCTGCAACACGACAAGACAGACCCCTCTTTTCCTCTCCAATGCAGCCTTTGGATTCTCCCTGTCGCAGGTCCGGACACTGTGTCACCACCCACCTGCTCTCCTCTCAGCTCTCAGGAGCCTACTTCCCTTTTTGATGATTTCAGGCTATGAAATTCTAGTATGTTTTCCACTGCCCACCAAATGAGGGCCCTCGGTGCACTGTCTTTTGTCACCTCTACCACTTCCCACCCATCTGAAGTGTTCTGTCCACTGTCCAGAGTCTGAGAGGAGTTCCGGCATCTGTCTCCCACACACTCATTCTGCAACCATTGCTCCTAGTTCAGGATCAGCACAAACACCAGCTTGCATGGAGCTCACAAAGAAAGTAAGGGTCAGAGGGTCTCTAGCCTCTCCACACCTCCTTGGTGTCATGCAGTCCTTTCAATCTGAGGCCACCACGCTGATCCAGGAGGGAAGAGGCTGAAACTTTGTCCTTCAGAACCTACTCAAATCCAGCAAAATTTCAACAAATACCATGGTGTTCCTGCTCATTTGAAGCTGTTCCTTCGACGGGCCACATTTAATGCTTTTGTCGTTTTCTTGGAAAAAAAAAAAAGTGCCTCCCCACTAACTTCCCAGAATTTTGCTACAATTTAGTTCTTGGAAAAGTGAAAGACACCAATTGAAAAGGAGCAGAGGGAATTCCGACAACACGGAGCTAAAAGAGGGGCTGAGGACGGAGCTAAAAGAGGGGCTGAGGAACAATGTCACATTTGCCTATAGCCAGCCTGTCCTATTTTGTTAAAAATAAAAACAAGATTACCGTGTTAGTTTTGTTCAGCTAATTAATAGAAAGGAATCACAGGAGGGAAATGTAAGAGAATACAGATAAGAGAGAGGCAGAGGGAAAAATCAGTGCTTATCTGAAGAGTAAGTAGCATACTTCCATCAGGGTTGTTGCTGTTGTCTGTCCACAAGATCCTGATCCAGATGAGCATTGCTGCGGCAGCACTGACTGGGGTGCGCAGCTCAACACAGAGCCTAACAGCCCCTCGGCTGAAAACTTGTTGAATGGAGAAATAGAAATCACTTCTAAGTGTCTAGTCCTTTATCCCCCATCTAGATTTGAAGGCTCGGGGGTGGGTACAACAACGGCTGTAGCAGCACGGATGTTGGCACTGGGTGCTGGGCACCTAGAATGAGTGCCACCCACATGCTCCATGAGGCCCCTGTCTGAACTTCCTCCCAGCAAACCTGAAAGACATTAGACCAGGCTGTGTAGAGTTTGTGCTCAAAGACATACACCTACACTCTACCTGAACTTCCCAAATTACAGGAGACAGTTGCAAAACAAAAATGATTCACTTTTAGCAACAAATGGTCTAGGTGCTTACAATGTACCTGGTAAAATTCTGAAAGGGTGGGCAAGGACAGCGCACTTGGCACACCCAGGACCAAGGGGGAGGTGAGTACGCACAACATGGCTGGCTGGTCTTACGTGCTTTCCACAGGAAAGTTCTGTGGACACCGACACAGCGCCTCCCTTTATCAGATTCTTTCTGATTTCCTGTGTCCCCCTTCATCTTCCTCCTTACTCTCTCCCTTCCCTTATAAAACACATAGCTCGCTATTTGTTGTTAATCATATAAAAGAATTCTATACTCTTTCTTCTGGCCACGTGTTATAATCTCTATGCAAGTAGTCTCTGTTCTTTGCTTGTTTCAGGACTGGTGGTTGACAGAACAAAGATAAACACTTGTCTCCTACTTCAATCTACCTGAAGATAATAACAACAACCTTCCTTAAAGGCGTTTCTTTAAAACCAGCACAAACTTTTGCTGTGAATGGGGAGCAATGGCCTACATCTAAATATGGTTAGAATGGCAGTGTCCATATAGACACAGCGAATGGTTGTTTTTCTGTTGACATTCAGGAAGAACCTATTAAAATGTCACCAGATCCACTCACAATATTCATACAGATGCAAATGGCATGAGGCTGATAAACAGTTTTTACTAAAAAATTTTCTTTTGCTTAAGCTAAGCACCGTGAAAAATAGATAAAGCCATAGGAAGTGAACAGCTACATCCAAACATGCTTTCCTGGACCATGCCCAGACTACCGGGATGATAGGCTACTACTGAAAAGATGCCACGTGAACTCCCCATGGCTAGAAGAAAGTCACATGTTGTGGGGACTAAAAAGCCATTCATAAGCCAAATGCAGAGAACTGTGCGTGACAAAAAGAATTGCCACATCCCAGGGCCATTTCCAAACTCTGAACCCCACACTGAAAGAATATGGGATTTGGTCAGAGACTGGGATGGGGTGCACACAGCCTCTGCTGGTTTCCCCATCTGTGAAGCAAGGATTATCATTTGTCTCAAGGTGAAAATCCCAGCAGATGGCAGGTGTGACGAATATGAACCATAAAGGAAGTAGCTGTACCTGTCCTCAGTCTCTGTCTCCCTGCACAGCACTTGGTGGTGATATTTTGTTTGTGTTTTAACAAATAAAGCTTTCCTGGAGATGCAAGTGCAGAGCTAAGCCACTAGAGGCCAGGGAGATGGTGGCACATACCTTTAATCCCAGCACTTGGGAGACAGAGGCAGACAGATCTCTGTGAGTTCAAGGCCACCCTGGGCTACACGAGATTGATTCAGTCTAAAAGAGAAACAGAGTCAGGCAGTGGTAGCTCAAACCTTTAATCCCAGTATTTGGAAGTCACAGGCCTTCAATCCCCGCACTAGGGAGGTGGAGATATGGCTGGACAGAGAGAGGAATATAGCACCAGAGGAGACAGGCACTCAGGCAGTCAGTCTGAGGATTCCTAGAGACAGGATGCCCTACTCGCTCTGAGGATTTCATAGAGGTAAGAACTAGTGGCTGGCTGCTCTGCTTCTCTGATCTTTCAGTATTAACCCCTGTATCTATCTCGGGGTTTTTATTACTGAGATCATTTAGAATTCGAGCTCCAGCACTCTCCACTGTAGGCTTTAGTCCCAAAAGTGCTCTGCTTTCTCTGGCCTGGAGCCTCTGCACTGCACCTGCCGTCCTGTCTGCCTGGGACTCATCTGCTCTTTAACTCTTGGTAGCTGCCACATCCTTAGGAAAGCCAATGAGACTTCTCCTTCCTGGTCTCCCAGGGGATCTCAGTGACCACACACATCTCTCCAGCACTGAGCTCTGTTCATGTATGGAGTACAGTTGCTCCTCTAAGGAGAATTTCCACTGTGCCTCTTTTCATGGCAAAACAGAGAAAACTTGAGTCAACTGCTTTTCTGGAACAAGAATCAGCAAGCTTTTCCTGCAAAGGGCCAAATAGGAAATATCTCAGGTTTTGTGGGTTACTCAGTCTCTGTCACACTCAGCTCTTGTAGAACCGAAGAACCATAGCAAATAGATCGCTGTGGTCTAGCAAAAACTTCTTACAAAAACAGGTGGTGGGCTTGCTTTGGCCAGCAGTCGAGGGTGCTCACCCACTTCTAGGGACTGGGTCTGAGCATGAACTGAAATAGATACGAGAACATCAGAAACCAGAACTCAGCGCCTGTGCTCAAAGTATGCCCATATCTTGTCCCAAAGTTGTCATCAGCTGCAGTCTTAAAACATTTCTTTGGAGCCAGGTCTTGTGGCACAGGCCAAAATCAGGAGACTGGGGCCAGAGATCCCAAATATTATGTAAGACAGCTTGGATTACATGGTGAGTTCAAGGCCTGTCTGGGTAACTTAATGAGATCCTGTCTCAAAAAAATAAATAAATAAATAAATAAAAATAAAATGGATAAGGGCCTAGGGATGTAGTGTAGTGATACAACACTTGCTTAGCATGCCTGAAGCCCTGGATCTGATCCCTAGTACCACAAAAATAGATAGGTAGATAGGTAGACGGACAGACAGAAGGAATGAATCAGAATTTCATAGCAGATGATCTTTTGCCAGTTGTATAGCTGAACTGAATGGCACAGTGCAATGGGGGCTCTAAGGCTGATCTCTGCGCCAAGCACATGCCTCCCTAACTTCCCATCATTGGAAATTAAATCTCATTTAAATATCCAGGTTCCCAGCTTTCCAAAAACAGAAACCCTGTCCTTCTAAGAGGATCAGCCACCCCAAAACTTCATGAAAGGCCCTCTAAAATGTACCCCATCCTCATCTGTTACTGATACCATTAGATAAAAACAGCATCATTCAAAGGCAACCAGCAAAAAATAGCAACCAGCCATTTTTGTATTTTGCAGGCTACAAACTTCAACAGAAGAAATGAAGCCCTTCTGGAGTTCCAGAGTAATAGTAGAGAAGCTACAAGTAATGCTGTAACCTAGTCTTTTCATAGTAACAATCTAACTGGAAAGCAAATAGGAAAACATAAATACAAAACGAGAAAATTAGAGAGTTGGGAGCCTCCTGTGACACAGAACATCTACCATATACTAGAAATGCTTGTTGATAAGTGAGCAAGCAGGAAGCTAAAGACCTAGACAACCAGTTAGCCAAAGCACACACATTCTCCAAGTTCCTTAAAACACAGTTTTAAATCTATAACATCCAGGGCAAAGTTTGAATGTTTCCATCTGTGTATGGGCCATGCTATTCTTCCTCCAGCAGACTCACCATCTTGAGTATTTGGACTCAGGATTTGAGTACGGAGTTCCTCCACGCTAATCCCCAGGCACTTGCAGATCTCCTCCCTGCTGTAGGGTTCAGCATGAAGCACGTCCTCTGTGACCAACAGCATTTCTTCCAGACTAATCCCCAGTTGGGTTTGCACTTCTTCTAGCCGTAGGACTTTATCCCATTGCAACCCTTTGTGTTTAGCAAGGACCTGCAAGTTCAAACCAAGAGAGAGGTTAAGCTTTACTTCAGAATTCAGTATGCTCTGTTTTAATTAGTCACATTTGACTTGATCTTTCTTCCCTTCAAACTATCCAAGTCTCCACTATTGCTTGGAAATGTATTGTAGACTCAGATGTTTGAAATTAAATATGCTTATATGATAGTCTCTTAAAACACACACATTGCAAATACATGCAGATGCGTGTGCACACACATACACCCACACACCCACACACCCACCCCCCCCCCCCCACACACACACACTTCCTCTCCCTTGTTTTTGCCTGTCATCTCTGTCCCTTAGGGCAGTGGTTCTCAACCTGTGGGTCACAACTCCTTGGGGGCTGCAGTATGCTACATAGCAGATATTTATAATACAATTCATAAAAGTAGCAAAAATTCAGTTATAAAGTAGCAATGAAATAATTTTAGGGTTGAGGGTCACCACAACATGGGGAACTGTAGTAAAGGGCTGCAGCAGCATTATGAAGGTTGAAAACCACACCTTAGAGCTATTCTTATATATTTCACTCTCTTATCTCTATTTAGCCTACCTATACTTCATTCTTCTATATTAAGTCTGGAGAAAAGTATTCAAATCTTATTTGATCTTGGTCCTGAGTTGTATGATGTTGTCCCGACTCTTATTACATTATTTCTTGTTTATCATGGGAGTCTTCAAAATGGCTAATGAATTTAAATGCCTGAGTATTTAGAGTCAAGTTTCAGCATTAAATTCAAATCTCATTGGTGACCCTATGAAAAGTTCCTTCATTGGCTCCATGGTAGTAGTATATCTGTATGTTCCTCAAGAAAGAGCTTGGCTTGAGTTGCATCTTGAAGTAGCCCCACAGTCTGATGGAAGGCCATAATAAAGCAAATCTTTCTAATCAGGTCCACTCCTGGGAGCCCTGATCCAGAATACACTCATTTCATTATCCTTCCTCAACCACTGAGAGCCCTTCACAGTTAAGAAAACAATGAAGGTTCTTCTCTTTCTGAGGTCTGAACAATTCATGATCTGGATGTGAAGACAGCAGGTAGAAAAAGAAAATAACCAGAGAGTAGGAAGTTAATTGTTAATAAAATGTGCTTTGAATTTCTCTTCCATTGTATTGATTTGATTTTCTTTTTTTTCTTTATTTAAAAAACTTCATTCATACAATCTATTTTCATGTTTCCCCTCCTCAAACTCTTCCTATATCCTTCTCAGTTCCCTACCTCACTACCCACCTCATAATCTCTCTTTCAAAAAAGCACAAAACACAAAAATTAAAACCAGAACAAACAAAAAAATCAGTAAGACAAAAAATGCCAAAGCAAAACAAAAGCAAAATGAGACAAAAAGCCTGCACACAACCCATGGAATTTGTTTGTGTCAGCCAACAACTCCTGGCCACGGAGTCTGTCCTTGAATGTGATTCATACACTGAGACTGCACTGGAGAAAGCTGAGTTTCCCTTTAACAGTGGGTATCGACTGCAGATAGTGTCTTGGTTAGGAGTGGGAGTCCACATGCTGCCACAGTCTCCGTGAGCTCATATGTGCATCCTTCCTGCTGCGTCTGAAAAACACTGTTTCCTTTCTGTCATCCACCACCTCTGGTTCTTATGATCTTCCTGCCTCCTCTTCCACATAGATCTCAGAGCCTTGAGGAGAGAGGCTTGATGAAGACATTCCATTTACTGCTAAGTGTTCCAAAGTCTGCCACTCTCTGTCATTGTACAGTTGTGACTGTGTTAGTTCGCATCTACTGCAAGGAGAAACTTCTCTGGTGTGGAGTGAGTAAAGCCCGGTAATTAGGAGTCATTTTATTACTGTGTTCCTTTAGTAGAGCAATAGCAGTAGGTATTTTCCCTAGGCCCATGACCTAGCTAGTCTGGGGTTCTTGGCACTTTTAGCAGTGTCAGGGACAGACTCTATCTCATGAAATAGGCCTTAAATCCAAATTTAAAAAAAAAAAAAAAGACTGGTTGGTTACTCCCGTAACACTTTTGCCACATTACACCAGCATATACTCCAGGCAGGTCACTGTTGTAACATTTGTGGCTGGGTGACATTGGTGATTACCTTTCTCCTCTGGAAGTGTTCACAGTACCTTCTAGTACCAAGAAAGCTACTTAATAGGAGTGAAGCGTCTAGACGGGTACCAGCTCTACTTCTCCAAGAGTTCTATGACATAAGTAAGTATCTTTGCAATGGGGCCTTACAATCAGGTTGTAGAGAGAAAGCAATAGCATTGGTAATAGTCTATGATATTTGGGGAGGTTTCATGGTACCCTTTTGTTCGGTGACTCAAGATGCAACACATTCTTGGCATTGGGAGATTTATTTGGTGGCATAAAATGTCTATTTGAGGCTTTGCCACTCTTAATAGTTGGTGACTTATTTAGATTCCTTTGATATGTGTACATATATTAAGAACTTCTATGGTGGCAGATTTCCATATGATTTTTCAGATGTCCTTTTAGTGTCCTCACTCCCCTTAGTCCCTTCTTTACCCTTCTCGTCTGTCCCCTCCCTATTTAATCCTCCTGTAGTTTCCCCTCTCTCTCTCCAAAGCACTACACTCTACTTCCCCATCTTGGAAGAACCTCCCCTTCTCCCTGGTCTCTTGCCAGGTACCTGCCCTCTGTGTTTATTCAGATTGTAGCACATATTTTGAAAGCTAAAAGCTACCATCCACATTATGTCTGTTGGATTCTGGGTTGCCACACTCAAGGTTATTTTTCTAGCTCAATCCATTTACCTGCACTTTCATTTTCCTAAACACTTGAATATTATTTGTATAAATGTACCACATTTTCAATATCCATTCATCAGTGGATGAACATCTGAGCCCTTTCCAATTTCTGGCTCTTATGAATAGATCAACAATGAACACAGATAAGTCTCTGTGGTAGTATGTAGAGTTCTTTGTATATATGCTCAAGAGTGGTACAGCTGGATCTTAAGATAGATCTGTTTTCAGCTTCCTAGGGAACTGCCACATTGATTTCCACATTGCCGTACAAGTTTGCATTCTTGCCAGCAATGAATAAATGTTTCTCTTTCCCTACAATCTTGACATAATATGATGTCATTTATTTTATTGACCTTGGCCCTTCTGACTGAAGTAAGATAAAATCTCAAAGTAATTTTAATTTGCACTTCCCTAGTGGCTAAATATGCTGAACATTTCTTTAAGTGTTTCTCAGACATTTGTGTTTCATCTTAAGAGAACTCTCTGCTTAGTTCTGTACCCCATTTTTAATTGCGTTATTTGTTTTCTTGATGATCATTTTTGTTGTTGTTGTTCTGACTTTCCTCCTTTTGGACAAGATGCAGCAGGACTTACCAAAGTACAATTGTAACTTTTGTTAGGGTCGCTCACTTCTGAAATGTGACTAGCTGAAGTTCTCAAACTTGCTAATCATCTTCACACACACACACACCCTGGCTTATATACTGAAGAGGAATGACTTTAAAGGAGAACTGGGAACAAACAACACAATTGTTTTTCTGTTCAGTTATTTCACAGGACAGGGTATCATTCTTTTCAGTGTTTGTTCCCATTTTCTCTCTATTACTTTTATTGAGTTTGTTCTTTGACAATTTTACACATGTATAAAATCCCTTCTGATCACTGGCCTCTCTAATCCCCTTCCCACTCTATTAAACTCCCATTCTCCCCACAAGTCCCTCTCCCATAATCATGGCTTTATTTTTTTTCTTTTTGTTATTGTTTCATTTTGGTTTTGGTTTTGAGACTCAAAGGTTAACTAGTATCATCTGTGTAACCATGGGTTTGGAACTATTTCCTAGTGGGAGCCTCAGTGGGTACACACATGAATGACTTCCTCTTCAACAGAAACCATCAGTAGCCAATATTTTAGCCAGGAAGACAGGGCCCTGTGAGTGCCTCCTAATCCATTACTAACTGTTGACAGACCCAGTCTTGTACAGGACTACTGCAGGCAACCATAGTTGCTATGAGGTTATGACTTTTTGAACTGTGTTATTCATGCCTAGAGGTAAAAATTTTACAGCCCTTCTCCTTATCTTCCAGCTCTTATACTCTTTCTACTTCCTGTTCTGCACCAATCCCTAAGCCCTGCAAGTGTTGGTACAAATGTCCAGTTTAGAGCTGAATACTCAACTGCCACTCATTCTCAAAACCTTGAGCAACCCTGAGTCTCTGCATACACCATCATTCACTGCAGAGAAGCTTCACTGTTTAAGGCTGGAACTAACATTTACTATAATTCCTTCAAATAAATTTTTAGAAGGCAACTTGGTACCATAACAATTTATCCAAACAACAGTAGTAAGTTCACGTCTAAGGGCTGGCTTCCTCAGCCACAGATTTTTTTTTTACCAGGTTTACAGCACCAGACATAAATTCATTCTTGTGAAGCAGGCCTCAAATATAATCAGAGAATGATTGATTACTCCCCTAACAGTTGTGCCACTATTACGCCAGTGGGCACATTTTGCCTGACAGGTTCAAGGAGTTCGCAGCTGGGCAACAAGACTGTTGATGCCTGTTCTCCTCCAGTAGCCTGTGGAGTAGCTTCCAGAACTATGAAAGCTAGGGAGGAAGCCTCAGGCTCAGTTATTTAACAACAAAGGACATGAAGTTGGGAGAAAGACAGGTTGGAGAGCACTAGGGATAATTGGAAGTAGGGAGTAGTAGATAGATATGAACAAAATACATTGTATACACGTATCAGATATTCAAAGACTAAATTTAAAAATATTACTAAAAAATTAGAGATGACAAATGGCACATTCAATCAGCTAACTAGTAAGTAAAAAAGTAGAAAACATTTGACAAGTGTATTCCTCTGAAAAAGAGAGGAGTGGGAGAAGGGAGGGGAGAGCAAGAGGAGAGAAGAGAGAGAAAGGGGAAAGAAAAGAATGAAGAGGAAAGGGCAGCAACAGATAATTTCCTATGATAGTTCCCATCTCCATCTTTATTTGAACCACTGATGTTCCACCTGGAAAAAA